AGGGACATTCTGTCTCCGGCTTCTATAATATAAAAATGTAGCTTCTCCAATTTAAATTTTAAAGTGTTTGTTTGTCTTTAGTGTATTGTTATGTCTCAGTTTACATGTATGACATTCGGTTATTGCTGGATAGGCCACAATTGACGAAATGCCCCTGAGGATGATCTTGTGATCGAAAGTACTTGGGCAAGATTTACTTAAATACTGTGTTCGATATTTGCCTTGTGTACCATCAAAGTTCATTTATTCGAACATTCAACCTTATATTGATAGATAGAATTACTAGAACATAAATTGGGAACTGAACTAAGAAAAGTTGGTGCCAACGGTCAAGCAATTTGTTAAGATTCAGGTTCATGGCATGTTCATGTTCAAGGACAAAAACATATCTTATCGTGAATGACAAGGAAACTCACCAGATGTACAGTATTGTGCGAATTAATGGAATCATAGGCTGTTTTAATGAAAAAACAGTTTATTGAGTAAAAAATTATATTTTGACAAAACTATAAAGGTAAACTTACATCATTTAGTAGGAAATATGTCCCCCTTTGGCAGCAATTACTGCTTTTACCCGTTTTGGCATAGATTCTATGAGTTTCTGGCAGTTGTCAGATATCCTTTCATCTCGATACCAAACCTGAATGGCCGCTTCTATCATTTTTGTTTTAGTGGTACAGTCGATTTTTCGCAGTTTAGCTTTGCAAATGGCCCATAAATTTTCAATGGGGTTGAGGTCGGGCGAATTACCGGGCCAATCTAAAACATTAATCTTCTTATTTTTGAAAAATGCCATAATTTCCTTTGATTTGTGACAGGGAGCAGAGTCCTGTTGAAGAATTGCTCCTTCTTGGGGTTGACATTTTTGGAGTTGTTTGTCCAAATACTTTTCCAACATGGATTTGTATTTTTGGCTGTTCATCATGCCTTCAATTGGCACCAAAGATCCAACCCCATGTATGAAAAACATCCCCAAAACATTTTCTTGACTGGATGTTTTACGGTTTGATCAATATGAGATGGTGTAAGCTTTTCATTGTCAGACTTCCTGACGAATTTCGACCGCTGCTGTCCCTGAACTATAAAGTGGGTTTCATCTGTAAATAGGACTTTTTCCAGTCGCCTACAGTCCAATTAGAGTATTTTTTGGCCCACAGTAGCCTTTGTTTCTTCATTCGTTCAGTTAGAAGCTGTTTTTCCTGTGGACGAATTGCCCTTCTACCATTCTCCAAAAATCTTCTACGAACAGTTGAGTCATGAATCACTATAGCTGATGCTGCTAGATCTTATTGTAGGTCTTGGCTTGATTTTCTTGGGTCCAATTTGCTCTTTCGAAGTAAAAATCGATCATCTGCTGGTGTTGTGTTTCTCTTTCTTCCACATTTTCCTAACCTTCTCACATCCACTGATCCCGTTTCTCGTTTACCCTTCAAAATTTTGCTTACTACCCCCTGACTCACTCCACACGTTCTAGCAATCTCTCTTTGTGACATACTAGTGTGTTCACTCAACGTGACAATCGTTTCACGCTTCCTAGGCGTAATATCCATGTTGGAATAAAAACAAAAACGACACAAAATAGTACAAAAACCCCCAAAACAACACAAGCTTGGTAAGAAATGACCTAAAACACACTCAAACACACCAACACACAGTAAGGCTATGTTTTCAATGCTTGGTCAGCTGTCAAGTGTGTAGGTAGTGTTGCCAACTGTGAATATTGAAAAAATGAAAAAAAAATTCACAGTGATTCCATTAATTCTCACAATACTGTATATCCGATTTAAAATCTGTGTGTTTTTGTAAAAAGTAAAAAATTTCGCAATATAAATTACTTACACAACAATAAACTTGAACTTGTTGATTATATGCCAAAATGCATTCCAGTGAAAGGAGGATAATATTTCCTATTCAGGGTTTACATTGTATTCTTTTTTCTTCGTCTATAACGAATAAATGTTTCTACCTTTTATGCACTAAAGTATGTTTTTTTTAACCGAGTTTAATATAATATGTCGTCGTTAGGAATGAAATACCTCCAATGTGCAAATTTCTAGTAATTCAGATTTTAAACGATTCTGAATCGCTATGAATAGTTTTATAGTCTAGAAAAATATCCAATGTGCGTACCGATTCCTAACTTCCCTAATGTATAAAAATGCATTACTCCAATGTAACATAATTATTAATTGTTGGACTGAAATAAATCCAATGTGCTTAAAAAACACATTGGATCTATTATCTATTATAATATCTGCACATTGGAGGTATTTCATACTTTCATCTGTCAAATTGCTATCCTCAAATTTTCTCAAATAAGCTATTTACCAGTGCAAAATGAGTGTTTTCAAGACAAGAACTAAATAGTTGTACAAAATTCACTTCAGGAAGATCGGAAAATTCTATCCAGACTTTGGCTCCTATTGAAAATGAAATTTATAATGAAAAATCCAAAACAGGTATGTAAACAAATTCACTACTACGGTTAGATATCTTTCATCTCATTATTGCTTAAATTAAGTAGGTAATAACTATTTTTCTTATTTCAGTTTGCCTGCAGCTACTATATTGGAACAGGAAAAAGGCAAAATTTGTTTTTTGGCGATGTAACATATTACCAGACGGAATGGCATGTCAGTTAAGGAGCGATGTAACCATATTATAACGCCAAAATGTTTAAAAGAACACTCATTATGTTCTTTAATTACGCAGGACGATAGACTACGAATTTTTAAAAAATTTTGGACATTTTACGTCGTGGGAACATAGAAGCACTTATGTTAAAAATCTTGTTCGGCAAGAGCAGTGCAAAGGCGCCGAAAAGATACTCAAAATTCAGACAAACGGTCTAAAAAGAAGAGTGCTCGTGACTTTTTTGTTTCTAAAGACGGAAGTTACCTCAAGGTATGCCAAGTTATGTTTTTGAACACATTAAATTTAGGAGAAGACACAATGAAATGATGGGTCTCAAGGGAGCCAGCCACTCATGAAATTGATACTTTTAGTGAAAGTCTACAAGATTCCAACATTCAACAAGATTACTCCAAGAAAAAATGAGACAAATTTGCAAAGAAAAAAATGTTATGGAATGGTTGCAAGATATTCCTAAAGTTCCTTCACACTATTGTAGAGCATCTACTAGCAGAATATATGTTGACAACAGTATCATAACAACAAATTACATGTACAGACTATATAAAGAATGGTGCGATGATAGAAAGCAGTCAGTTGCTCATATCAAGTTGTTTAAAGTTGTTTTAGAAGCAGAGAAAATTGGCATACATAATAAGCAAAGGAAAGATCAATGTGATACGTGTGTTGCACATAAAATGAAGACAATAAGTACTGAAGACTATGATCAGCACATGTCAAAGCAGAAAGAAGGAAGACGGACAAAAGAGTTATTAAAAAGTAGCGCAAATTCTGAAAAATTGGTTCTCACAGTTGATATTCAAAGTTTCTTAACGTGTCCAAAAGTATTAGCTTTCCAATCGTATTATAAGCTCAAACTCCAAGTACACAACTTCACCATTTATTCTCTAAATGATGAAGATGTCCAGTTGTACGTTTGGCATGAAGCAAATGGTGGAGTCAGTAGCAATGAATTTACATCTTGTCTTATAGATTATATAAATAATATTCCTGCTAACTATCAAACTCTTGTATTCATCTCAGATGGATGCAACTAACAAGATCGAAAATAACTCTGGCTAGTGCTTTTTAAGTGATTCAGCAAAAGCAAAATCCTTACAATACAGCAGTTATATCTTGAAAAAAACCATACTATGATGGAAGCAGATTCAGTTCTTTTAACTTTGGAACAATATTTCAGACTCCAAATTAATTCACCGATGGATTACATTGCTAAAATGCGTCTTGCTCGGCCAAAACATCCGTATAATATTAAAACGTAGAATTTACGTTCTTTAAAAAGTACACTATTGATAGTAACTTTCGTTCAATAAGACCTGAAAAAAAATGCCAAAGATCCGCAAGTTGTAGATATAAGACAATTAAAATATAGTCCCAATGGAGAGGTATACTACACCACTGATTACTCAGATAACTGGAAGCTACTACCACACAGAAGAGAAAGCCAAGACCTGTCGGTTTATGAAAACTTGCTCTTCAAGACACCTCCTGAAATATCAGAAGACAAGTGCAAACATCTGCAAGACCTCAAATCAGTTATTGAAAAAGATCATCGTCACTTTTACGATACTCTTCCTAAAATCAACAAAACATAATACTTTCGGTGGTGTTCGTAAAAATATCATACACTGATACTACATGTCGAAGTTTGTTTATTTAATAAAGATAATACAAATCACTTTACTGTTTATATGACTCTTTTTTCCCTAATAACACCAAATTCAAGGTGTATAATACTATGACATGCCATACACAATATTTGAAATTCCTGCTATGTACCGGTTCAATCATTTATAATTTCTCCAATGTGCGCGTTTGTAATATTTTTTTTTATTAGTTTAATGGTTTGTACTGATTAAAGGAATTAATTTCACCTTAATATCAATATCAATCTTAGTTTGGCCAAAAAAATCAATTACTAATTTAATACAATATAAAATAGCGTTAGTTAACTGTTTTTTGTGTCTCCTGTAAAATTAGGATATTTTTACATTGGAGATATTTCATTCCTAACGACGATGTGCTTGATGGCTTAACCAATCCCTACCATTTATTACAACCACAACACTGCCCTTGACCTACATACCATTATTTACTTAAGCCCTTCCATCTTCTCCGTGGAATATTCTTATGGGCGTGTTTATGATCGATGCACAATTCATTACCTTATAAGTAAACTTGTTTTTGGGTTACACTGTCTCTGTTACCACTACCTTTTATTCATATTGCACTGAAATTTCGATTTAATTTAATTTTGCAAACTATCTATCCAGTTATCTCGGTTGTTTTATCATTTTATCAGTGCGGTTTCCCGAGTGTTTAATTCGTTGAGCTGATAGACATTTTTTGTCATTCCTGTTAGTAACTGCAGTGTGTACACTCGTGTTTTGAACTACATAATTCAAAATGGTCCTGGAAACAAGAGCTGCCAAAAGTGGGCTTGCCGCAGAAACCCAAAAGAGGGTATTTATCATTTTTTTATTATTTTTATCTGTAACTTTTATAAATAATGTCATACAGATATTATAAAATGCACTATTTTACGTTTCGCTATTCAGATCAAAGAAAATATTCCAAAAACCGTTTCTGATCTGAAAACTAAAACTTTTATTTCCCCAACATTGTTTTTTTTTTTAATACAAATTTAATATGAAATATTTGAATGTAAAGGCAATATCCCAGTATGACTATGCAAAATTCATCGATTTCACGGCAAAATTTTTCGCAGATATCTAAAGCTTTTAAAACATAGGTGGGGGTTACTACATAGATGACGAATGGATAAAAAAGTACTCTTATTTTTTACCTTCCTTTTTTATAAACAATAATCTATGGCCACAATTTGATTTTTTGTGTATAAGTTTTATCATTTATATTTTACATAATCAATACTTATTCATTTTTCTTATATTCTTATCATTTTTTTATATCAAGAATATCTTAATTTTCTCGTTTTTTAAATTAAAATTGATACATAATTTACAGAGATATTTGCTAAAAAGCAGTTTTTTGCACTAATTTATAAATTTTATTAATTTTTTTTATTAACAAAATAAAATGTTATTAATACATTTGATACTCCGATACCTCCGATACAAGATGCTTAAGTGTTACGTGTGGCCTGTTCTCCTGTACGGAATGGAAGCATGGACGTTAAAGGCCAGTTCCATTAACAAACTTGAAGTGTTTGAAATGTGGTGCCTGCGTCGAATGCTCAGCTGTGGAACCCTGTGTCATGTTGCTTGCAACATGTAGAAACGGATATTTCATTGCGACTTTCATTACTACATCTTATTATTTTGGTACTCTGTGTCAGTGTCGCTTTTGCTTCGGATATTTTCGAGATCTTATTGTTCACTCCAAAAAACATTCATTGTTATTTGTGTTTCTAATATGGCAATAGTTAAGGTAGATATACAGATTCAAGATTCTCTCTGTAAAAGTGTATTGTTATTGGCTACACGTTTTTAATTAAAAAATTATATCCAATGGCAATGCAAAATTTTTAATTTTAGACTTTATAATTTTAGTGACATTTTTGTCTTGGTATTACTAAGTATTTTGCAATTTAATTTATTTTAAAAGTAATTTATTTAGTAGGTAAGGTATACTGAGTGATAATGTTGCCTGTGAACAGTATGAACGTATTAGCTTTTGAGGATGAGGAGAGGTTAAGAGTATTAAGAAACTTTAACATTAATAGGCGTTTACTTAGATATTAAAGTGATCCTTTCAATGAACTAACAGATTTTCAGCTTAAAGGATTGTATCGTTTAACCAAAGATATAGCAAGAGATATATTAAATGGAATCATGCAAAATATGGTCATCGATAATAATGTTGTGGCAGTTCCAGTTGCAATAAAGTTTTTGATACCCTCCAATTTCTTGACTGGTAGCTACCAAAACACTATAGGGCAAAATTTACAATTAGTGTCTCAACAAATAATGTCTAGGGCAATAATTTTGAAATAATTGAAGACATTATTGAGACATTTGCAAATAAAATTAAATTTCCTAACTCCATTAAAGTGAAAAATACCAAAAAAATAAGATTTATACGATACGGTTATACAATATACGACACGATGTTTACATATAAATAAACGCTAACTCTAACCTAAATTTTGAACGCTTTTACCGATTAGTTGTATCTCTTTCTAACCAATGCGTCCAATTATCAAGCGACGTGTGTCTCTCTCTAAAACAACACGTCTGAAGGTGTTGAGTGGAAGCGAGGCCACAGCTACAAATAAGTTGATACAAAACGACAATTGACACCTTGAAATGGAAGACAGAGTACGACACGTATCGTTTTTTGGCGACTATTTATATCAACATAACACAGGGTTTACCTGCAGAATATCATGGACGGACAGGGTCAGAAATGAGGAAGTACTCAGAAGAGCGGGCTTACAGGATAGGGAACTTTTTAATTATGTAAAAAGTAAGAAGACTGCATACTTGGGGCACATTATACGAGGAGAACGATACACTTTTCAGCAACTGATACTCGAAGGAAGATAGAGGGTAGGAGAGGTCTCGGACGTAAAAAAATGTCATGGCTGCGTAATATTCGACACTGGACAGGAATCCACAGCTATGAAATGCTTCGCTATGCTGCTAAAAATAGAATTATTTAATCCAGAATATTTAACATCTCACCTGACAAGACGATGTACGGTGGACGCCTACGCAGCAATGCACGGCACCTTAAGAAGAAGAAGAATACATTTGAACATCGAGGAATTACCGTCTTTTAAATTTATGAGAAATTTCCCCCGATCGGTCAAATAGTTTAAAAATTATTTAATTTATTTATCCCTAAGGCTAAATATTTAAACTATTGAACTGGCTCTATTAATGATGCTAAACACATTTAGCAAATTTCATAGGATTCTTTAAGAGTTAAACTATCTCAGAAGTTAAATGCGTTTTCGTCGAAATTATTTACAAAATAAACGTTTGAAAAAGGAAAATGTTTTTTACTTATAAACAATTGTAATTACTTCTATATTTTTCAAGCTACAGACTTGTACGTACAACTATTAGATAGCTGGTAAGAAAACTCACATTAAAAAAACCTTCTATAACCAGTAGGAACGAAGTTAGGGACTATTTTTTTTTAATTATATCTCCATTGTTTATAAACATTAAAAAGTAAACTTTGCACAAATTTTGAATAAAAATCTAAACTTTATATTGAAACTTATAGCTATAAAATTTATCAAATTTTTCCAAACTTACAGTGCTTCTTTAAACGAAGGTACTTTCGAAAGATCGACAGAAAGTGGAGAGTATAACTCAAATAGAAACACGTAGGAAAAATTTACATTTTCTCGGTTTTCATTGCACCTAAAGCCTCTTTTTTTGTAATCTGGGGTAATAAATATGAATAACTACATAGTTTTCACTGGCCGGGAAAATATGGGAAACCTCGAAAAATACATTTGAGTCCATTTGAAATTCACCGTAAAAACTTACTTTTTTTTTAATTTGGCTGAAATAGTCTGTCACAGTATATTTTATAAATTAAATTTCAGGTAATGTTTTACACATTATATTATATTCCTTATATTAATTATAATTATTTACTACTTTAACGATCTATATGTTTATATATTTGTATAGGTATTTGTACAGTACGATAACGGTAAACACATTTATTTACGTTTTTAGATCTAAATATCTCCAAAGATCACATAGTTTATCGTCCTCGTGTCTCTACACTTTATATGTATTCATCTGAATAGGAGAACGGTCATCTATATAATCGAAAACCGGTAATACATCTTAGTATTCGTAAAAAAGGCGGGATGAGTAGCAGCTCCAAAATTTCGTCAAAATAGTCCCTAACTTCGTTCCTATTGGTCATAGAAGGTTTTTTTGATGTGAGTTTTTTTTACCATCTATCCAATGGTTGTACGTAAAAGTCTGTAGCTTGAAAAATATAGAAGTTATTACAATTGTTTGTAAGTAAAAAACATACCCTTTTTCAAACGTTTATTTTATAAATAATTTCGACGAAAACGCAATATGCATTTAACTTCTGAGATCATTTATAGTTCAATAGTTTAAATATTGAACCTTAGGGATAAATAAATTAAATAATTTTTAAACTATTTGACCGATCGGGGGGAAATTTCGCACAAATTTAAAAGACGGTAATTCCTCGGTGTTCAAAAGTATTAATAACGTTTTATTTTGTTAATAAAAAAATTAATAAAACTTATAAATTAGCCACAAAAATGCTTTTTTTTTAATATCCGTCAATTATTATCAATTTTAATTTAAAAAAACGTGAAAATAAAGAATTTCTGGATATAAAAAAATGATAAATATTGTTTATGTAAAATATAAGGGAAAAAACTTTAACCCCCACTTATATCATAAAAGCTTCAGATATCTGCGAAAAATTTTTCGACCTTTTTTATAACCAAACTGGGCTAAAAGTTATACACCCATCACTGTAATTGAAAATCTCATTTACGAAATTTTACGGAATTCCTTACGATTTTTGAATGCCATGAAAATTATCCAAACAAATATTTTAGCTAAAAACTGTTTCGTCTATATAGATAATTATTTTAAATTATGTCTGTAATGCTGCTGATTTTTTAAATCAATTAACTCCACAATACTTCTACTTCTACTTTTGCTACTGGTCTAAAAACATCAAAATGAAAAGAATAATGTTATTTTCCTCTACTCAGCACTGACACATTTTTAATCTGTTTTTCAATAACACTTAGATCATAGTCTATCAATGTAACTCTAAAATCTGAAACGTTTTTTGAAAATTCTGAAATAAACAATGTTTTTCCGTAAAACTTTCGTTTAATAAAGAGTCCTTACTTAAAATCTTCGAAAAATGTGCTATTATTCTGGTCCAAAATAGGTACAAATTAATTAAATCAATCGACAGTTAAATTTCGTTCTTACATGAGACTTGGCTCACACTTTTGGTCCAGCCAAATAAGTTTTTCTCGTGACATCTTAATAGTAAGGTGTTTGAAGAGTATTTCCGACAATATTATACCAAAAGCAAACCTATTGGCGACGTGCAAGTACTTGGATGTGATACGAGAAACGATCGTGCGCGAGTAGCGGAAAAATCTTGCATTTTTTACTGCAAATTTCATAGATTTCATAAATTTATATTGTCAATTGTCATATTTCATATTCGTTTGTTTATTTACAACTTCTGTCACTGAAGAAATGGGATTTAGGAAATGATGTGTTATAAAATTGTAAAAATACAACAAAAAATTGTCAATTTAAGTTTTATTCGTTTCCAACTTCGAAGCACAAATTACTACAAAGAGAAAAGTGGATTTATATCATAAAAAAGCATAAGTAACATAACCTAAATTATGCATTATTCTTGCGCCCGATTTTAAAGTCAGTTTCAAATAAACAATAAATAAAAGTTCACTTTTAAGTGTAAATTTTAGTTTCATAACA